TGAGAAAGTTTTAGTTTTGAACCTAGCTAGGTTAGCAACTTTACATGTCCTCTTTACCTTATCACTGTTTGTACCCTGTGATTTGTAGCTGCAAGACCCTAGCGGACACTTTCAGCATTCAATTTGGAAATCTCTTTCATTAACTGCATCAAGTCAGTAGGTGCATTAAAAATTTTTTTCATGTTACCATAGGCAACAGTTACTAAATTTTCTTCTACTACGTAACGAGGACCTCCTTTCCTCCATCAGGGAAGAGCATGTTCCTTAGTTTCCTATACATCCTCACTGAAAGCCTCCTGAGGCCTATCAAGTTTCCTTAATAGTCTTGTGTAGCCACAGAGATGTACTGCTCAGACCTCTTCCAGACAGAACCTGCCACAAGGAGTGCAAAGAGCCAACAACCTCAGGGGCAAGTGCCTCCCAGGTCCACTGCAGCATTCGGGCGGAGGCCCCCACACTCTTCAAGGCAGCTTCCAGTCAATAACTCAACATGGCAGGGCATCCAGGCTTGGCCACTTCTGCCCAACATGCCCGTCTTCTGTGACAGTCTTTGTGCTGGAGCTCCCCATTGGCTGAGATTTTCTCAGAGCTGCAGTTAGAGGGTCCTTCTAGCCAATCCTCCTTCCTCTTCCTTCTGCCTCATTTTACAGGTGTCAAGGTCACATCTAAGCTTGAAACTCTTAAGGCTTTCCATCTGTACTTCTGCTCCCCCTTTCCTTCTTCTTCCTTAGGCATTACCCCCCAGTAAATCTCTTGCAGTTCTAACTTCTTCTTAGTGTCTGTTTCCTGGAGCATCCAAATGCATCAGCCACCTCAGGGTCATTCCAGCTTGACTGCTCCCTGGCCCCCAACAATAACCATATGTCTTAGGTTTTTGTTTTGGTAAAGCCCCATCTCCAAGTGCCAAATATGTTCTGATTGCTACTGCTACCAAACGAAAAGTTACCTACCAAATTTAGTAGATTAAAACCATTGTATTTTGCCCACAATTTTGTGGGTTCAATTTTGGGAAAGCTCAGCGGGACAGTTTTCACTTGGGGTCTCTCCTGCTGTTGCAGCCAGATGTTGACTAGAACTGCAGTAATCTAAAGGTTTGACTGGACTGGACATAAAAGATGGCAGACTTGTCTGTTTGGAAGCTGATGCAGTAGCCAGGAACACCGCTGAGGCTGTGATTGGAACGCCCATATTTGGCATTTCCAGCATGGCAGTCCCAGAGTGGTTGAACTCCCATGGTGGCTGGATTCACCCAGAGCAAGTGTCCCAAGAGAACGAACCAGAATTGGTGTGGCTATGACAGCCATCTAGTGGTATGGCCGTGAAAGCCTTATGACATTATTTCTATAGGTTAGAAGCAAGTCACAAGTTTAGCCCAGATTCAAGGTAAGAGGGCAGAGACTCCACCTCTTGATGGAAAGAGTGTCCGGTAATTTGCGATGTTTTTGGACTTTCACAGTGACAAATATGACAAAAGTAGAAGCCAACACTTAGTCCCATATATAGCCACTTAAAGGCCCTATAGGACCAGCCAGCCACCTGGTGGCGAGTTGATTATACAAGAACAATTCTATTATGGAAGAGAAAGACCCTTATTTTCACTGGAAAATGCACTTATTCTGAACATAAATCTTTCTTCCTTCCCTACAACGCTTCTGCCAAAACCACCATCTGCGGACTTACCTAACAAATGCCGTATTCACTGTCATAGTATTTCATGGAGCGTCACGTCTAACCAGCAACTCAATTTCCAGCAAATGAAGCATGCCAATAGAATGATGCTATGGAATTCAATGAACTTACCCGGAGCAGCTGGCCTGATAGAACAATGAAGTGGCCTTTTGAAGGTTTAATTAAAGTGCCAGCATGTGATATAATGCTTTTTGTGGATGAGGTAATGTTCCTTGGGATATAACATAGAATCTGAATCCCCATTCAATATATGGTGCTGTTTCTCTCACAGCCAAGATGCACAGATCTGGGACCAAGGGATGGGAATGAGTATGGCCCGCTCCCTACTGCCCCTACTAATTAACGTGACAACATTTTACTTCCTGCCTCTGGAACCTGGGGCTCTGCTGGTTTAGAGAGATTGGTTCCAAAGGAAAGAGTGCTTTCATCAGAAAACACAACAATGCTGCCCCCTGATTGCAAGTGGAGACAAATCTGGCCATGTTGGGGTCTTTGTGCTGTGAACTAACAGGCAAAGAAGGAAGTCAGTGTACTGGCTGGGTGATTTCACCGTCACAAGAAAATGAATAGCTACTGCTCACGGGCAGTAGGAGAGAAGAGGGAGGGATTTAACTGAAATGCAGATAATTCTTGGGGCATCTTTTTAGTACCTCCAGTTTTGTGGTAACAGTAAATGGAAAACTAAACAGCCTAATACAGATAGGACTGTCAGTAGCATAGAATGTGCAGGAATGAAGACTGAGTTGCCCCATGACGTCAGGAACTACCCCGTGGAGTGGCTTGCTGAAGGAAAGGTAACATGAAATAAGTAGTGGAAGAAGAAGGTTATAAATATGTTACCAGCTGCAGCCACGTGATCAGCTTCAAACACAAGATCTATAGTAGTGATGGTATTTCTTCCTTGCTTTGATAAGAATATATATGTGTGTAAACACGCATATCCATATATAAAAATCTGTCTAGGTTTTGGAACGCTCTTCCCGCAGATATACTCCTGGTTTACTACCTGACAGCTGGATCTCCTTGGGGAAGAACCCTGCTATACTGCCAAAATTTTATTCTGTAAATCTTCCTTCTAGCTTTCTGCAAAGGGACCCACATTTACGAAGGTGACTGTGCACTGAGAGGAAAGAAACACCCAGACATTTCAGGGATTACTGGACATTGGCTATGAAACAATGGTAATTCCTGGGGACCCAAAACAACACCGTGGACCACATATTTCCATCCACATAGGAATTTATCTATAGATGTAAATCCCTTCACTTTGTTTCTTTTTTTTCCATTCTAAAATAAGACGTGTTAATAGTGGCTAACTTTATATCTCAATAGTTAATTCATAGGATATAAAAACGAGAGCGTGACTCCTCTAGAAGAGACATAACCGTCAGTCATGGATGAATAAGGTCACATGTAGGACTCTGTATATCTTTTTTGGGAGAGGGATAATGTCCTCATCTGCTTGGGCTGCCACAAAAAAGTACCATAGACTGGGTACTTAAAACAACAGAAATTTATTTCTCCCAGTTCTGGAGGCCAGAAGTCCGAGATCTCCTCCTGACTTAGTACTATGTCCTCAGATGACTGAGAGAGAGCGGTCTCCAGTGTCTCTTCCTCTTTAGAACACAGATCCCATCATGAGGAACCAACCCTTCTGATACTATTTAATCCTAATTATCTCCCAAAGGCCCACCTCCAAATACCATCACACTGGGGGTTAGGGCTTCCACATATGGATTTTGTGAGTACACAATTATTCAGTCCATAACAGATAGCACAGTTTTGTTTGTTTAATGGATAATTGTATTAGTTTGGTCAAAAGTATAATTTTGCTTTCTCTTTCTGTGGAAGTTAAATACAGTCCTGACAAATATACATGATTTCCAAGTTGGGAGAGTGTGAGTTCTGGTGGATTATAATATGTCAAGTTGGCTAAGGCTGGGAACCATTTTCCAGAATTTCCTTCCCTATGTGGTTCCTGGGTAGAGTCGACCATGAAGAAAGGTGTTACACTCAGTCATCTCCATCAGCTGCAGTGACAGAGAGATGCAGAGGGTCAGCCTGCTGCAGCTGACCCTCGATCTCCACCGCTGCGCGTCCATCCCATCTTTCTTATTGCAGGCCTGCTGACGAAGGCTGGCTTCAAGCCCATCTACCAGAATCTTGGCCATGGACCAGAGGGGTAGCAGATAAATAGAGGCAACAATTTCAGCAGCATGATAATTTCCATAGACCTCTCCACAAACTCCCAGTCACAGTCCTACTTCAGCTTCTCAGATTCTGTGCAAGTTCTGAATTGTCTACCTGCGCCAATGCTGCTTCTTCCAATTCTCTACCTCTCCCTTCCAGAGCTTCACTACGCAGCTCTTCCCACATTTGTGTCCAATTGCATTCCTATAACCAGTCCCTCATTCTCATCACATTTTTTCTAACTGATGCATTTTGGTTATCTGCGAAACATTCGCAGAGTCTCCCACTGGAAGCCTGTTTAATAGAGAACGGCCCTGTCTGAAAAAGCACCCATCACCCTTGATCCCCTCACTCTGACTCTCCTTCACAGCTCTGAACACCACCTGACATAGTCTGTGTGTATGTATTTGTCTGCTTTGTTACTACTAAATCCCTGATGAACAGAGAGGGGGCTAGCACTGAATAGTTGCTCAATAAGTATTTGTTGAATGAATATTTGGAGAAACTGATTTAAATGCGGCTATATTATGATCAGAGTAACAGTAATTTGTCCTACAATGTGTGTGAAATATTGAGTTCATAATGTTCTAGATGAAGAAGAGGTAAGATATTTAAAAAGTAAAGAAGGAAATAGAGGAGGAAGAGTGGGATGGGGAGTAAAAAGGTGAAGAAAGAGAATAAGGAGAGAAAAGTAATTGGGGAGGGAGGGGAAAAAGGAGCAGGGAGGAGGAGAGAGAGGAGAAGGAGAGGAGGAGAGAGAGGAGAAATGGAAGAAGGAGAGAGAGGAGGCTCTCAATGAATGGCTGACACTGTACTAAGTGCTTTCTGCCGTTTATCTTGAGACAAACCTGTGAGGCAAGTGTTATTATTCCCAGATTATACATGAAGCCACTAAGGCTCAGAGAATTAAAGGACTTGCTGAAGGTCTTTACAAAGTGATTGAGCTGAAATCCAAACACAGGGTGTCTGGTTTACAAACTCGTATTCTTGCCATTATACCGTGCCACCAGAGAAAGCAGACACATCATGAGAAGGAAAATGGAAATGCTGTTTAAAATCATATTAAAGTATTCCAGTTGGGTCTGAAATTACAGGTTTAACTTCTAAGCTTGACCAATTTGCTGAAGTACCAATTTAATACTCAGTCCTTTTATCTATGAATTAATACTTTCTATAAGTAGACAATTTTGGGATTTATAATCAATGTTTTATGCAATAGTTCTATGATCTTACTAAACATTTTCAATACCAACCCTTTATTATAGGTAAATGATGAGTTATAGCATTTAAGACATACATTTTAATTTTAAGCTAGCTTAAGAATATTACTATGCAAAGTAAGAGTTAAAACACTGGAGTAGCGATATTGACAAATAACTCTGTGTTAATTCCAGGAATAATATGCATGTGGCCTCTACACCAACCAAAACTGGACCTGGTGGGTCTCAGCCAGTGGCAACGCAGCCAGATATTTCAAATCAGCGGAGGCACTTCAGGGTTGTCTTCAAAGGTTGGGTCTTCCTCGCTTGGTATAATTTTGGGTTCAGGTCGTCTTCTGGGTGTGTGTTTTTTCTCTTGAACTATGTTAGTCACATCAGGGAATGAGTGCTTGCTAGGATCTACTTCTAGTTTCTCCATGTGCTTGCTTCTACAATAACAAAAAAAGACAAACAGAAAGGGATACTACATCATTTAAAATTTCAAATAGATTCAACTCACCCATCCATTTATTCAGCAAACATTGGCAAGTAATGTCCCTGGAACATAGAAATAGAGAGAGAAAGAGAGAAAGAGAGAGAATGTCCCTAGCATCAAGAAGCTTAGAGCCTTGTAGATTCTGACCTGTGGAGAAGAAAAGTGCTAAAAAAAAAAAAAAAAAAAAAGAAAAAGTCACTGAGCTTCTGCTAGTGCACAGGCAATTGGAGGAGATGTCACCTGTGAAACTTTACCTCCCTAAGTATTTGTATTTGATAACTGAAATGATACAGCAAGCAAAGCCCTACAGCCAAGATTAATAACTGAATCCTTCCAGGGAGGTCTTATTCCTTAATGCAGCTCATCAGGCTTCTGAACCCTCCTGCTTCAGACAATCTAACTTGTAGGGGTTTGGCAGGGGCATCTACACGACAAGTTCAGGTGCATAGCAAAGTGCAGCCCCAGCAACCTCTCCTCCCACAAGAACCTGTGCCTTCTGCACTCACTCAGTTCCCTCGGAAATAGCAAGCATGAAACAGAAGAAGGGGGCACCTCGGTTGGCCAATGTTCCCAATATCATGGTCAGATAGAAAACTGTAGGTAATCAGGTCTCTGGACTGCATTCCCTGCAATTTTGATTCAGTAAGACCGGAGTTGGGCCCGGTAGCCTGTATTTTTATAACACTCCCCCAAATGATATTGATAATCAGTCAAATTGTTTTGGAGCCACTGCACCATTCATTCAAATGTTCATTGAACAGATACATGTTAAATATCTGTGATATTCCAGGTGCTGTATAGGCACCAGGGAAACCATGGTCTGTGCAAACAGACATGGTTCCTGGTAATATCTAATAGCACAATGTGGCTTGAACATAGAATTTATGACACTGTCATATACCTGTTTCATTATTTGTCTGTTTTCACACAATACTTATATCTTTGATGCAAAGATTTTGTCTTTTTCATCTTTTATCCTAGGCAGATGGCTGTATTGAATAAATGTTGTTGAATAGGTGAAAAAAAACCCATTATTTTTCTATTGGGGAAATAATGAAATTATATAAGAAATTATCTCTGACCTAAAGAAAATCACAGTCAGTTGAGTCCAGGAGCTCTAAACTGATGCCTTCAGACTAAGCTCATCCAGTGAACACCCTCTGTCAGGGGAGGAAGGTTCCATTTTCTTTTGAAAGTGTTAACTCTCTATTGTCTTTGCAACCATCTCCCTTCATTTCTGTAATCTGCCTAGCCCTTGAAGGCATTTGAGTTTTTGATCCTCCACACTATTTTGACTAATACACAAGGACCTGCTGAAGAAAAAATACAAAATATACAAAGAATATGAAATAGTATATTCAGAAGTCCAAATAGCTTACCATAAACTCCATATGCCACAGGAAGGACAAAAAATGGAAAGGGGCTTGTGTAGCCTCTGAAGGGGTGAAACAGGTGGGAATTCAAAGATGCCCTGAAAGATGTGAAGGAATGTGGGTGAGCAGTAAAGACAGAATTAATGCTCCAGAGAAATGAATGGTGCTGTGGTCATGTCCTGAACATACCTTCCTCTCAGATGCCTCGATGCCACAGTATTCACGGAACCACCTGCCTTTAAAAGAATAGAGTTTTGTGGTGTCAGCTATGATGCTGCTTATTCTTTTCTGCACAGTCAGTCATCATAAGGTTGGTGACTGACTGTGCAGAAAACAGTAAACATGGCAGACCAGAGATGACTATCTTTAGAAGGTAGGCCTGCAAGGTTGGCCATTGGCTGGTAAGCTGTTCCCTACAGCCACATGAAACTTTCCCTAAACAATAAGGGTAGCTCACTATGCCTTGTAATGTGCAATGTGTGCAGTCAATTTGGTTTATGCTTTCCTTCTGGGACTGCATAACATTGGCACCTGCTAGGCAGAGAGTGCCTACCACTGGCACCCAACAAAACCCTGAGCATTCAGTGTCTAATGAACTTCCCTGATGGACAACATTTCACATGTGTTGTTGCAACCCATTGCGGGAGGAATTAAGCATGTCTTGTGTGACTCCACAGGGAAAAGACCCTTAGAAGCTTGCACCTGGCTTTTTCTGGACTTAGCCTTTTGCTGATTTTGCCTCCTATTCTTTTGCTGCAATAAATCTTAGCCATGAGTGTAATTATATGCTGAGTCCTGTGAGTTCCTCTAATTAATCTCTGAACCTGGGGTCATCCTGGGGACCCTTGACACACTGTCTTTTGTTGAGCCCCATGCTAAGGTCTTTACTTGTGTCATCAAATCCTCAGACCCAGTGGGAGGACAAGAGGAATAGTCAGCCAAGGTCCCACAGATATACACAGGCAGAACTAGCTGGGAACTGAATCCAAATCTCTGGTATTAACATCACCATACTGTTCCTCATAGAAAATGAGGTACCAAACACACAGCATAAAGAGGGGTTTTCTGTTCTTGACATTTGGCACATAAGCTTATATCCATCAAAACAAACAGTTCTCCAGGTCAGCATGAATATTGAAACCAACTGTGTTACGACACAGTAAACCCACAACCTGCTAGGCCCTCTTTCGTCTCATTTATTTCTTGGTAATCAAGAAACAAAGTTCATTACTACAAGTCAAGAGGCAGTAGAGCGTCTAGGGTAGCTTGCAAGATCCTGGCTTCTACCTGCTAAGCTGTTGGCCCTTGTGAGTTACTCAGCCACTTTGTGCCTCAAAGACCTCATCTTTAAAATAGGGATGATGACAATGAACATAGGGCCGCTGTCAAGATCAAATGAGTTCATCCATGTAAAGGACATAGAGAAGTGCCAGAAACACAGCAGGCATTCCATAAGCATCAGTGCCATGTAGGAAAAGGGTGGCATCAGTCAGTATGTGCTAGGATATGGGTAAGAGTTGGTAATGCAATTCACTATGCTTTTCAGCACACATCTTTTAGGTGTCTAGTGCTGTAATCAGTGCTAGGAATGTAAAGATGAGTAAGACATGGTGTGTGCCCATAATCAAATGAGGAGGACACACATATACTTGGCTATTTTTCACCAGTGTGGCAAGGGCTCTGCAAGTAGGAAAAACAAGTCAGGTTAAAGCACAGGGAGACATCATCACCAAGGCCTGGAAGGAATTATGGTGGGAATCATAGAGTAAGGGAACTTGGCACCTGGCACTGGGGGCAGGGTGGAGGTGGTATTTTCCAAGATTTTGAGGAGGAAGAACATTCCAGAGAGGTAACACTGACAACAGGTAAGAAAATATTTGTTCTGCTTACTCTTAGCCTGATACCTTCAGAGACTGAGGTACCCAAGGTGGGGATGAGGGAAGGAGTGGGAGTGTCTGGCCCAGTCCAGTCAGGGTAGGGCCTGGGTAAGTGAGGGAAGCTTGGATGGCTGGGTAAGGTAATCTGTTGAGGAGGCTGCCTGGAGAAGTGTTTAAGGTAAGACGCTGAAAGTCTTTGGCTCTGTGGCAAGTGCTGGTGCCACAACTCTTGGGAACTGGGGCATCTTGACCATCACATTTTTCTTTTCACTTTTAGATATTCAAGCAGTAAGGAGTATGTTTATTTTTAGGAAAATTAGAGATGGATTCTTCAAGTAAGGGAATGATGCTTAACAACCTATTTATTATATTTAGTGTCATGTAAATATAGTTAGAAAACAGAACACTGACACTACTTCTTGTTACTGTCCTGCTGTCTAAGTTTCCAATTTTTCTTTAATTGCTATTTGTCACAACAAGATAATTTACCTTTTCTGTCACTGGCTCCTCACAACTTATGTACCCATTCATTCAATAAGTGTTTACTGAGTACCTACTATGCACCCAGGTTTGTGTGTGTCCTGGAGACTGAAAATGAAAACTGTCTTCCTATCCTCAATAACCTTACTAAGAAGATAAAATAATATTATCGTCATTAGGAAAAAGAGATGTTATATGGTCATTTTTGTACTTAAAGAAGCTATATGATGTGTGCCCAAGTGAGACAATTTGATTGACCAAATTGACCCATTTGTTTTGGTGAACTGAAAGGGATGTGTTGCTGTTTTTAATCATCTCTCAATATAAGTTGGGTATCCCTAACCTGAAGTTCCAAAATCCAGAATGTCCCCAAATCTAAACCTTTTTGAGCACTGACATAATGCTCAAAGGAGATGCTCAATGGAGCACTTCAGATTTTCCAGTTAGGAATGTTGAACTGGCATCATGCAAATATTCCACAATCTGAAAAAATCCAAAATAAAAAACAAGCCTGGTCCTAAGCATTTTGGATAAGGGATACTCAACCTGTATGTTCACAGTCTTATCTGATGCTCACACCATCACTGAGCCCCACATCCCTTCCCCACCTCACTGATGCAGATGTGGGAGAAGGGAGAGGGGCAGGGGTCCATTAGAGGCTGAAGCTGAGGGTCAGGCTCAGGATTGGGGCAAGAACAGATATTTCATTTATTATGTGGTGATTTTAATACATTTTAAGCCTTTTTATTGAGTGCAATACATGTATAGAAAAGTGACCAAATCATAAGAGTGAAACTTTCATTAATTGAATGCACCGTGGATTAAGAAGCAGAACATTACCAGCATTCTAGGAGCTCCTACTGTGCCCTTCCAGCCATGATGTCCCCACTGAAACCTCCATCCTGGAGGCAACCATTTTGCCTACCAAGCCTTCCTTCTCACGGAGGGTGCAGTATGAGGATTTGCTATTTGAAACTCCAGAGTTCATCTGTGACACTCAAGGAAAGGCCAACAGAATACAAAGATGCTGACCTGGGGTCTTAACTGCTAAGCTGCCGAACCACCTACAAAAGCACCTTCTTCCAGAATAATTGTTCTTTGAGGCAATAAAACATCCTACATTTTTAAGTCCATTTTAGGTATTCTATTACTAGTAGCCAAATATATCCTGATACAAGTCAGGTCCAAATGTCATCTATCAGTACAAATAGAAACATAGGGAA